ATCCCTGTTTTTGCAGCAGTTTTCTTTAAGGAGAAGAAAAAAATATGACACTCCTGCTATTCCTAAGGTAAAAAGCAGAGGCTGTTCTGCCAGGACTCAGTAAGGGTATGTCTACACTGCCACCCTAGTTCAAACTAGGGTGGCTAATGTAGGCATTCAAACTTGCAAATGAAGCCCGGGATTTAAATATCCCAGGCTTTATTTGCATGTTCCCGGGCGCCGCCATTTTTAAATGCCCCGTAGTTTGAACTACCTGCCCGCGGCTACACACGGCACGGACTAGGTAGTTCGAATTAAAGCTCCTAATTCAAACTACCGTTATTCCTCCAGCACGGAGGTGTAGCCGCGGGCAGGTAGTTCGAACTATGGGGCATTTCAAAATGACGGTGCCCAGGAACATGCAAATAAAGCCCAGGATATTTAAATCCCGGGCTTCATTTGCAAGTTTGAATGCCTACATTAGCCACCCTAGTTCAAACTAGGGTGGTAGTGTAGACGTACCCTTACAGGGTGTTCTACTCCTTTAATGGCTACAGAGCCTGGAGCCAAAAAGCCCTGTTCTAAAGCAGAGCTCCTTTCAGGGCAGGTTTTTGGACCTGGTAGTGATTATCAGACCCACCTGGTAAGGGACCAAGTGACTGCTTGATGAGTATCTGATTCCTATAAAGGCAGAAAGCAGTGCATTTGAAAGTGAGTAACTGAGTTAAAAGAAGCAGGTTAATACTTGGATTAGAGGGTGTCTTGGTGGACTCTCCAGTCCTCTGCTGAAGGAAAGGGGAAGTCCTATCAGGAGCAGAGAGGTGCTGTCAATGAAGCTGCTGAGTCGGGTGAAAGATAACTCTTGGCTTTATGTCAAGTTATTTTATTTTAGAGTTTGTTATTATTGTCACCACTAAATGGTGGCCTGCACAGATGCTAGGTGTGGTATTTAATCTTTTGTGGGCTAGGGGAAACAGGTCTGCCACTTGCATTTTCTTATGCATGGCTTTGCTTCCCTCTGCCAGAAGCACAGTAGCTGCAAACCTGTTTTTATTCCCTGCTACTGCATTTACTGTCTTGTGCCAAAGTGAGAGAGGGAACCAACTATTAAAAGGCTTGTGCATTGTAAAGGAATGGGATGTTGCTAAATCTACCCAGGTGCACTTACATCACCTGACTTATCTCGCCCACCTTCTCTTTCTGAGTAGTATTGTCTTCTGTTGGAATGACTCCTGTTGGTGGAAGGTACAAGCTTTTGAGCTACTTGGAGCTCTTCTTGAGGTATGGGAAGATATTCAGTGTCACAGATACATACAAGGTGGACAGATTGCTACACACGAGGAGTTAATGTATGTTGCAAGAGATCATTCCAGATTAAGTGGGCTAGTAACACCTGCATTCATAGAACAGAGCAACTTGTCACATGTTAGTTAATGCTTTTCCACTGGTGTAGCAGTCACACCTGTTGAGTCAGGATCCAAGCATCCCAGAACTCTTCTTCAGATCTGTGAGGTATTCAATGTCACAGATTAAAAACTGTTGGTATTATAGATGGGTAATACCAACTCCTTTGCTTGCTATGAAATATCATGACAGGAACAGAAATTAATTGGAACAAACCAATTATCTGTAAGCCAGAGAGGATTTGCTATAGCTAGCTAACCTGACAAGCTCTGAAAATACCATTACTAAATGGGAGGGAGCACTGTTTAGTAGCTAAAGCACAGCACTGGTACCAAACTACCTCCTCTAGTCATGACTCCATCAGAGGTCTTTGAGGCTTAGACAAGACACTCCTTCCTGCGTTTAGGGAAGGATGTGTTCACGTGCTGTTCAGAATAGGATCAAAGCACTACTCTAAGAATGCACTTAAATCCCGCGGACTCCAGTGGGACACATGCACCTGCTCAAGTGCTGTCCTGAACAGGGATGCTTGATTGACCTGGGGCCCCAATTAGCCTGCACAGCTAATTAAATGGGAATATGCCCACTTCAGCGACATCATGAAGCTAAATGCAGGCATGTGGCAACATAGTTTGAGACCGAGGAAGGTGCTGTACTGCTCCTGATGATGTTCAGGCTTGTTATTTATCCTTTCCATTTAAGCAGAGAGGTGTCATTTACCTGGGCTTGAATGAGTTGGATCTGGCTACGGTATTTTGATGGTACTTATATCACTGATGCTAAACATACAGTTAAGACTTAGTCTAACTACATTGAAAGGTTTTATTGACCTATACAAGAAACTTCTGAAGGAATGGCTAATGGGACTAAAACAAATACTCCATACTCTAAAACGGAGGGGAGGAATTTTGGGGTCAATCTAAGTTGTGATGATCCATGACTTACAACTTTGCCCTGAAGAGGATAACTTTCATTGTAGAAGTGCCTTTTGGATTTTGATTTGGTCACCCTATACTAGGATCAGTTCAAAGACATGATCTGTAAATGCCTGTTCTGCTGTAGCAAGTGCCTCCCCATAGCTCTGGAATGTTGTGTATTAAAAATACCTGAGTTGTATGGATGGACTAGACAGGTGGATTAAATGGCAGACTTGGCTAGTTAAGTGCTTTGCCTATTTGTTGGCCATAATTTACCTTGGTCAGCTATGCTCTTATTGGAGGGAAGGGTTTTTGCCTCTATACCCTAGAATGCTAGAGGAAGTAGGTGCTGGTCATGTTTAAGGATAAGATTCTGTCTTGGAAACTTTTAATAAACGTCAAGGGCAAGCAATCAAAAT